ATGTGTTTGTTAAATTTCTATGTAATGGTGATTATTCCAAAGAACTAGTATGTTTTTGTTAAATCTCATTTACGCTCATCGTTTAGGGGACATTAATGAGCTTAAATTAATTATAGTCTTGTTAAAATGATTCATGTGGTAAATTTTTTTTAACGCGCAGTGGAGTTTGCAAGATTTGTTATTACTTATCTGTGGAAAATATTTTGCACTGGGCCTTGAATTGTGGCCACACAATTTTTGACTTGGAAACTTTCTCTAGTCTGTCTGATTATAGGATGCATGACCTGCTCAAGAGATTAAATTTATTCACCTTCTAGCATACGTATATATATATATATATATATCTTCCTTTTTGATCTAAAGGCTTTGTCGAGCAAATGAAGTTTTTTCGAAGAATTTTACCAAATTAATTCCATTTGTTCAGAGCCATGCATATCTGTGCATCTGTCAGATTCATGCTTGCAAACGTATCAACTATGTATGCTACTTGTATCTTATAAAACGAGCAGGATGTCCTCTATATAATGGCCAAAAGAAAAAAAAAATAGCAGGATTAGAGATCCAAAGTCTAATGTGAGCCATGATTACCATGGCTCTATCTTATATGTAAATTTACTTTCTTGATTTGAACTAGCATGTAGATGTGAGTGTGTTATCTTATGATAGTATGAAAGCATTAATTTACTTCTGCTATGCAGCAGATTTGGAGAAGTCTCATCATCAACGTGTATCTGAGTTGCAACGGCTTCGCTCCATGTATGTGCATTGTTAAACCTGGCCATTTAATTTGTAGTTCTTGTGATAATGTTCTGCTGGGTTGAATCCTAACTTCATGGGCAAATACATTTCACCTTACACTCAAGTCAAGGAAGATTGTTTGGTTTTCTTACTCTTGAAACATTGAAAGTATGGTTATTAATTGAGAATAGTAGTTTGTTGCATTGATAAAATAACATGTCTCTTTTTAGGAGGCTTGAGCATTAGCATAGTTAATTTTCTAGTCTGTTTTTTCTCTCAACCTATCTTATCATGTACACAGACAAGAAACATACCGCACTTCTGTAAGGAGTTTGTGTTTCTCATGATTTATTGTCTTATTATATAAATTTTCAGATTTGGTACAAGTGAGAGACAGTGGGTAGAAGCGCAGGTTCAAAATACCAAGCAGCAAGCTATTCTGATGGCACTTAAAACTCAAGTAACATCTGATGAAGCTCACATTCATCTTGATCTTCATTCTCTCAGGTATTAGTTCCATTTGACTCTTTAATTCGTTACAATTTCAGGAATGTTTTGTTTATAGCTGTTTTGGGGTCTTCATAGGTGTTTGAAGTTGCTTATAAGCGGTTTTAAGTACTGTACTACAATTTTTGCATTTGGTAACACAAAAGACATGGTGCTTATTAGGTTATCAAAAGTGGCTTTAAGAAGGTGGTAAATGAGCACTTTAATCCTGACATTTTAAGATCTTATTTTCTTAATCTAACTAATTTACTTAATTATTCTCTTATGTTCTCTCAAAAATAATAGTATATACATTATGCAAAATAAATCATAAAACATTGTAGTAAAATATTTTTATAATTTTTTAACAAAAAATAATAGCTTACTTTTTGCAATTAGCATTTTGTCCAAACATACGATTGTTTTTTTTTTTTTTTTTAAAAATAGAATTTATTTGCTCTAATTAACTTAAAGCATCCTATTTTGTTAGTCACAGTTCTTTCAGTTATCCCATACACTCTATTAGTCTTCTTAGTTTGCAAGTTTATTTTTTCACTCGATGATTTGCACAAGAACTCAACTGAACCAAAAGGCAGTTGAGTATATCCTTCTGAAATTATGGTTGTTTTGTTTATACCAGGCAAGTGATTCGTTTTTAGATGGGATGAAACTTGACTGGAAAAATAGACCTGCTTTTTTCCGTTCTATGTCATAGAATGCTAAAACTTTGGTTCACTTTGATAGCTTTGTACATGAATTTGTGTGATTCTTTGTGAATGCCATAAGCATATCATAAGGACAATATTCATGGGGAAAATTGCATGCCAACAATAATAACTACTTTTGCTGCCGAAACATAAATGTTCTCGAAATGATTTCAATAAACTTTGTTGCAAATGTGAGAAGATATCATGTTCGAGATATTCAAATTGTCTTCATAAACTTACACTAGATATGTCCATGGAAGCTTAGCATCCAATGGAAGTATGCGATGGTGTTAATGAAACGTACCACTGAGTTGCAAAACTCAATTTTCCTCAAACTATTAAATGCAGCTCAAATTTCATTTGGAACTTGATTTAGGCTAAAATATTTTTAAGTCATATAATGTGCTTTTGCTATCATTTGATATTTCTCTATTGACTTTAAATCCATAGGAGGAAGCATGCTGAATTAGTGGGAGAACTTTCTAATCTTCATCACAAGGAAGAAAAATTGTTATCTGAGGTCTGTAACACTCAATTCTAAACCTGTCTACTTTATGATATGTTTCATTTCCTTTGTTATTTAGTGATGTGAGTCAAATTCTACTATTACACTTGGGAGCAAATGGACCCATGCAGTCATGACATGCATATTGGCTGATGCATTCATTTATTGCTTTGTAAGCTCTCTTCCTGTGCTATTTTCACTTTTTCCTGCACACAACCCAGGTGAATATCTAGCACATTGGTTCAGTTTAAATGGAATGAATTTATCTGATTTATTGTCAATGAAGGAAATGAGGGACGATTAGATTTGTGATGGCTACCTACCTCAAATGATTAATGGTCATGAGTCTGGGTGAACTGTTTTTGATTCGTTTATCTTCAATGAACCTTGAATTGTTTTCACAAACTCTGAAATCTCACTGTTCTTTCACTGTTGTCCATCAATTTGATACTAATATATTTGCATATCCATGTATGTGATCTTTTTAGCATTTTCATTCGATTAGATTTTTCATATATTTTCTGCCCTCATTCTGTATCTTTTTCTAGACTATTCCTGAACTTTGCTGGGAGCTGGCTCAACTTCAGGACACATATATTTTGGAAGGTATATGGTGCAAGTCTTCTCTCTCCATAGTATCATAGGCACAAAGTAGACAATCAACTTGCTTCTCTTGGCTTCATCAGTTATTTCAGAGCTTAATATAACTCTAATGTATGAACTTGTAGGTGATTATGACTTAAAGGTTATGCGCCAGGAGCTGTATATAAGCAAGCAAAAAGCGGTACTGTTACTTCATATAATATCTATTCATTTCTCAGGCAAACAACATAAGAAGTTAAAGCTTTTTCCCTTTTCTTTTTCTTTAACAAATAATAAGGTTGAGTTTCTGGACTGGCAGATCATGCTATCAATAAAAACTATTTAAGATAATTCATTGCTTTAGAGCTTTTGTTCCAGTGGTTTCAAATTTAAAAGAAAAATGGTGCTCTAGATCAATGTATTCAAGTTAAAAAAGTCAAACAAAGCTAACTTTGAAGTCTTTGCTTGATCTTGGATGTCTCCATAGATCATTCTTGAGACCCAGATTTGTTTATCTATGTTCTGCTAAAAGGAGAAATATTATGAAAGAGTGAGACTGCTATTACATGAGATGATTAGAGGATGAGAAGACCTTCAGCCAAAGTAAAAAATTTAAAAAAGAAAAAATGAAAGGCATTAAGATAGAGTAGAAACCGAATCCCATTACAAAGAAGATAAAAACATTCCTGAAAGAAGCTGGAACCTTTGCCCAAAGAGAAATGAGGAAGACCATTCCATCCTAAACAATGTGAGGTTATTGAAAGAAAGGAACAAATATATTAAAACTAGTTGCTGGTTGGGTTGGCATCGTTATGCATTGTGTTTATTCTTCAACTATTTATGCCAGAGAGAGTAGTTATTACTATTATTATTTTCTTTTTGCAGTTCATTCATCATCTAATCAATCAGTTGTCAAGGCACCAGCTATTAAAAATTGCTTGTCAACTAGAAAAGAAAAACATGCTTGGAGCATATTCTTTGCTTAAAGTTATTGAGTCAGAACTTCAAGGATACCTATCAGCAACTAAAGGCCGAGTGGTATGTTTGGTTTTATGGAGTATATGCATACTTATATCCATGTGAATCTGCCTTCATGTTTATTGTTTGTTTCTCATTAGCCAATAAAAATTGGCTGGAGTGTTCTTGTTTTCTTTAATTATATAGTTATATCTAGGGGTGTGTATAGTTAGGCGGTTAAGTTAAGATTTGTAAAGGTAGTTCCTAAAGATGTGGATCAGTTATTTATATCCTAGGGGTTAGTGATCCTTAGGGCAGTTGTAACTTGTGACTCTGGCATAGAAGACCAGAACATGATCTAAATAAAGGTAGGCAGAAAATTCAGAAAAGTCTATTTGTTCTTTGTTCTTGCAATTCAAGGGTTCTTTTTAACAAGCCCTTAAACAAATTCGTAGTGTAAGGTAGAGAAGGAAGAAACAAAAAATGTTAGTTATTCTTTGGATTTCTAGAGAGGTTCATTATTAAAATTTTTTTAAGGGCTTATTAGAGAGAACCTTTGGCCTCACCAATGAGGACCAAATAAGCTCTTCTGAACCCTGACTGCAAGAGCGTTGGTGTAAGGAGGTGTCCTCTCGCTAGAATATTTGTCACAGCCAATGCTGCCACTTACATACCTCTCAAACTCTTGTGCAATATTGACTTTCTATTGAGCAGCCATGAATATCCATATGGTTTAACTGAGTATCAGACTGAAGTTTTCATTCTATCAGTATGCACATTTTTCGATAGCCTATAGACAGGAAGGTTGTGATCATAACGAACTGCACTTCTGAGATGGGATCTTGTAGTTTGCTTGCAAACATATGCCGGTCATATTGATAATCCCAGTGTTTATCGGTTACTGCCATGTTATTTTTTCCATACTGTCACTGTGGTTTGGTTCGAAAATGCGTAATCTCTGATCATTTTCTGTTTTATTCAGGGCCGTTGCATGGCATTGATTCAAGCTGCATCTGATATACAAGAGCAGGGAGCAGTGGATGATCGGGATAATTTTCTGCATGGTGTTAGAGACCTTTTAAGTATTCATTCAAGTAAACACCTCTATACTTTTCTATTGTTTCTGACTAGGTTTTTGTCGCATAAGGAAAATTTTGTTGAGATATTATGTTAGTTATTGGATATAAGTTTTTGCTGATTTCTACCATATATTTTAGATCCTCAATCTGGGCTGTCAACGTATGTATCGGCTCCAGGCATTGTTCAGCAGATATCTGGTCTTCATTCAGATTTGATGACACTTCAGTCTGATCTTGAGAATTCTCTTCCCGAAGACAGAAATAGATGCATCAATGAGCTGTAAGTTACTATGTTTTTGCTGGACATCTCACTATTATAGTTTAGTTTAGCTGCAACAATCATGCTTCCTGAGCCATTAGGAAAACTAGTAACTTTTTCAAGGATTTATATTTCACATCTATATATATTTTTTCTTTTAGGTGTACTCTCATCCAAAGTTTGCAGCAATTGCTATTTGCTTCTTCAACAACTGCTCAACCAATATTGACACCTCGAGTATGATATTCATCATTGCCATCTTTGTTTTTTTTAAAATAATAATATGCAATTAAGGTCAACACTATTATCCTTATGTAAACTACAGCTTAATTTATAGTTTTTCTTCAGTAACTTGTTGTTTCTTCTCTGACATCGATGACTTCTTTTAGCCATTGATGAAAGAGCTTGATGAAATGGAGAAGATCAATGCGAAACTCTCTGCAGCAGTTGAGGAGGTGACACTTGAGCACTGTAAGAAAACCGAGGTAATCTAATTTTGATCGGGTATCTTATAGATAAATTTTTTATTGTATAATGACATTGCACCACCAGTTCCCTTCAATTATCCAGCATGTTCAGGAAAATGTCTTTTGATTCATGTCGTCTATTTCCAAAATGTATATAGAACCAGATTCTAAGAAAACGGCATAGCCTAGTGATACAGAAACTATCTAGGGGAGCAACCTCTTGAAGTTTCTCTTGAACTCTCTGTGTGAAAAAGTCTCTTGAACTAGGGGCGCACAGCATTTATGTGCGCGCTACGGAAAACTTAAAATTCATAGACTGATGTTACATACAATGTCAATCTCTCTTTATACCTGGAGACCAGGAACTACAGCAGTAGGTCCATCCTCCCTTCTCTATGATAGTCTTTAAAGGGGCTAAGGTGACTTGAGTTCAACTCTACTAAACTTATGGGGTAAAGTCCTATAGAAGTACCAAAAGAACTTGGAATTGAATAACAATGTTGTCGTAAGACGTGAAGCAGGAGACTGGAAAGAGCTGTTCCTCCGATCCTAGTGTGATTCATTATGTTGGATCCATGATGTGAAAAGGGAAAAGAAGAGGAAGAGAAACAGAGTGAAAGTGTTTGATGTTGGTGGTCAGCAATTAATGGATAAACTCACCTTCTGGGGAACGATCATTTTTTTCTAGAACAGACCAAGTAATGTACCTGTTGCGTTATATTTATAGTAACCTGTGAATCTTCATGGTATGCAGATCGTTAAACATCATTCCCAGGAGGTAGGACTACAAAGGCGGGTCTTTGTCGACTTCTTCTGCAATCCAGAGCGTTTGAGGAGCCAAGTGAGAGAATTGACTGCTCGGGTCAGAGCTCGGCAGGTTTCATAACTAATCTCATTTACACTTGTATCGTGTTTGGCTCCCTTCAGCCTTTAGTCCGTTGGACTGAGTTGTTACATATAGAATTGCTCCGCCTTTAGAGGAGCTGTAAATCATGATTGTAAGAAAATCACTAGTTATCAATGCCAATATCTCTTTGCTATCTATCTTGTGTGTTATAACGTCAAACCTCAATGCTTGGCTTAATTACATATTAAATTATTGTTAATAATTCCTTTTGTTGAATAATGTTATTTACTATTAGTTTTGGTCAGTAAATAATGTAATAATTTAGCAATTAAGATCTATATATTTTATTTTAAATCTTAAGTAAAAATATAAAATTTATTATTTTATAAGTACATTATAAAATAACAATAGTAACTAACATATACTATTTTTGATTTCAGTTAGATTAAACTTGGTCATAGCAAATATATTACTTTTACTGGTAAAAAATATTTCATCACAGTTATTATTTTTAATCAAAATAGTTATAACAGGTTAAAAAGTTCAATTTTTAACTTTTTTTTATTTGAAAAAAAAAAAAATAGAAGCAGGGTGAAGTAAGAGAGAACTGCATTTAGTAGCTACATTTCATTTCTACAAAAAGTAAATTGTTACATTGGTCAACTGAAATCAGAGAAAATTTATTTATGTACATAACTGCTGATATTTACATCCTCAAAGGAAATAAAACCACGAGAGAGACTGTGGCAAAAGCAGTTCTCTTGAAATGGAACCCTACCAAAACAAGACAGCTGAGATTTGGTGCTGCTAATAACAAAAGCAGATCCCGGTGGGTTCGGAACGGATGATTTGGCTCGATGGAGATGGCACTTGAACGAGCCAGCATGTGTGGTTGGTGCGCAAATGCAAGCCTTCTTGGACTGCTGGCGCCACTACTGTTTTCACATTGTTATTACTTGTAGCCTTCTTGTGCACTGCCTCCTTTTCACCAACCCTAATACTCTCGGTTTCGTACAATCCCTGATTTTAAGTTAAAATCCCTAGAAAAAAAGGAAAAAGAAAAGACAATTGCAGAAAAAAAAAAAAAAAAAAAAAAATGACAAACACAGACGGCCACTGCACCCAGCCAAAAAGACTTAATAGCTGAAGTACTTTGCCAGAGAAAGAAAGTAATTAACTAGAGTCAAACTTTGCTTTATCCACAGCAAAGGTACATTAAAATTCTTTTATTTATTTATTTAATAATAATAATTGTGTTTTATTTACCTGGTGTTGCAGAGAAATCACATGGAGTCTGTTTAATCATTTATGGCATTGCCACTCAAGGCCCCATTATTAAAGCTGTTCTTGACTCGTTAATCGAGAAATACTACTAACTCATGATAACCATCTTCGTTCAAACAAAATTAAAAACTAACTCATGATGACCATCACCTCCTTATCATCAAAAACAAATCGTGCAGTGGAAAATCAAATTTGATTTTACAAGAAATGAATTTAAATTATTTAATTGTCGATCCCCAAACCACCATCATTTTCAATTTTCAGAAAATAAAATTATTCCTCCAATCCCCCCACCCAAAAATAGGAGCTATCTGAAGGAGAAACAGAGATGGGACTTCATGTGAAGAGAAATTAATGGGGACAATCAATCGCAATATAATAATTTTTTTGGGTACAAATGGAAAAAAAATATATACACAAGTGAATAAAATTACCAAGAATGCACCCAATTCCTCAACTTGTGCGACTCGGATGGCGCCATTTCTGTAGCTCGGATAAAAAATTGTGAACTGGGGAAACAATTACAACCTGACGAGAGAGAGAAGCAGACGAGAAGGTGACATTTATGTTTTAGGGTACGTGTCAAGACGGCCATGCATGCAAAGCGACACGCCACACTTGTTTGAAGTCGCACCGTTTGGGTATTGCCAACCCCGTAAATATTCATTACGTTCCACCCCCGCCGACTCTTTTCGATCCTCAAATTAATTCATTGATTGGGTTTTTGTGGTTATAACTTCTTTTTCGTCATCCGATTTGGTGGTAATTAAAACTTGACCGAAGGGTAAAAAGCTGTAATTTTATGAAATGAATATTACTCTAATTGAAAAGATTTGGATGAGAGCCTAAGATTTTCGAATCAATTAGTTAGTATTAGTTTAAAGCTTGATTTTGATTAGTCCCAAGCTAAAATAATTAGTTTAAGATTTTAGAAAACATATACAGCCAACTATTTAAGCATTCCCTTCGTCCATTTAAATATTTCACGTCATGTAGAGAGATTATTATTAAGTATTAGATTACTAGTGATGATGATAATTTTGCAAAGATTAACAAAGGCTTTCATGTTATGATTTAGTAATCTACATTGATGATGATGATGATGATGATAATTGAATGGTGATTAGATCATTTTTCCAGAACTTACCTGATCTTATTATACTAACACTGTAAAAGACCTAATTTTCTTCAAATTTGACAACTTTTTTGACTACCCAGATAAAATTTTATACTTGAGAATGGATTGAGCAAAATTTCGTACGCAGAGAAAATATAAAGGTATTATAAAATCAGTCAGTACAGAATCAAATTTGGTGTGGATAAAAATGAAAGAATCAGTACAAAATTAAACGTCTCATACAAGTGTGACAAGTTTGAACTTTACCTTTCTTGGGTCTTGGATTAATAAGAAACCATCTCTAAGCCAGAAAAGTTTAAAGATGAACTCAGTAGTGTATATATATGTATATAGTTATATATGAAAACTATAGACATACACAGAGTTAGGTCATGTACAAGAGTTAATAGAATGGTAGTTGAAGATATGATGATGAAGATGATGATGGAAGCAGAAAGCAGATGTACATTTTTCTACCTTTTCTTTTTCTCTTCTTTTTATTTTTTTTTACACACCACTCGTATCTCAACTCAGGTGCTTTTGGGTTTCGTTTGATTCAAGATTTTATTTTATTTTTATTTTCATTTGTATATATGTTTAGAAAAACTAAAAGGTGCATGTGGGCTCCCCCCCCCCCCCCCCCTCTTCATCGTGTTATGTATTCTCCTAGATTCACATTCTGTTCCTCACTTCTACAACGGACCAGAAAAATTAAATTTAGATGTCAATAGTCAAAACTAATAGCTTGATAACAAAAAATGGGTTCATGATAAAATTGCAAGAAAATTTTAATTTACATGAATTTTTTTTTACTTTGATGGGCTCATAAATTCAAGCTCTCTCAATCTTTACTTTTTTTTTAAAAAAAAAAGAAAAGGGCCTACAAAAGAATAAATGGATCATACCCATTACAAAAGCCTACACAATATTATATATGTATGTATATATATATATATATATTAATTAAACACTAAAATTTCCCTTGAATTAGTAAGAGTCAACATTTTACTTATTTTAGAAAGTAATAACAATACAACTTAATTTAGAATCAATTAAGCTAGCTACACCATAAGTAAATTACCCACACACAAAAAACAGAGAGAGTACAGTTGAATATTTGGGGGGAGAGATATATAAAGATTGGAAGTAAATAGCTTTTTGAATTTTTGGAATGAAAGGGAATATACATAGTGTTGTATGCTACCCCACATGGGTGGGTAAACCCTTTCCCTTTTTACAGACTTTTTCTTACCTCAAATTCCATCTGCCACCCACCAATACAAATTAACATTCAAAACACCACTCACAACAACCCTCATAATTAATTAAGTGATAATTACCTACTCATTTCCTCTAATTAATTAACACTGCACCACTAATAACTTATACGTAAGCTACATAAATTAACCCAAGTACCCAACATCATAAATATGTTCGTATATATTATATATTATATATTATATATATATATGATACGATATGATTTTTAATTCAATTTCATCCCCATATATGTACGTAGTTCTAGTCTTGCTCTCTCTGCAATCTTGAGTTCATTATGATTGCTTCACAAAACACAAGTTGGCAGCAAGCAGCTTGAAAAGAAGCCAAAACCTCTCTTCTGCACCCACAAAACATAAAAAGACATTCAAGTTTACTATCACACTATTGCAAAGTCAAATTTTGGAATATACATAGATACATCTGCAAAAGTACTGCCTATATTTGACTATATATATACTTTATACTACATATATATATATATATGTTAGGCTACGGTTTTAACTGTATGTACTACTGCTGAAAAAGCTTCTGTATATCTACATATATTTATATAATATAGAGATGGGGAGAAGGTGAGTAGGTGGGTTCACCTTTTTGGTTTTAGCATAGAGAAGTTCTGGAGATATCTTGTAGAGATCTTCATCAACAGGTTTAGGTGTTGGCCTCTGCATCATTGCCGGCGGAGGAGGAGGCGGAAGAGGAGGAGGTGGAGGACTGGTGCAACCTCTCTGCTTTTTTCCTTCTTTTCCATCATACTGACGTGCTTTGCCCTGCCATTATCAGTTTTCCATTTATATCTATTGTATTTAATCACATCACGTCAACATTAATGATTATTAATTATTGAGTAGTAATTATTAATCAACCAAAACAATTAATAATGCAGAACTTTCATATGAACAAAGAAACATGTTGGTCCCACGTTAAGCGTGATATTAGGTTAAAAAAAAAGCTAAAGTTGAAAAGATTAATGCATCATTTTCTTTCTCTGTTCATAATTTAGTGTTGGAAATTCTTTGCTTTTCACTTTATCGATGAACTTCTTTTCATGAATCTTTTTCATCTTCCCTTCTTTTTCTTTTTTTCATCTTCTTGTTTCTCTTTGTGAGCAGTTTCTTTCCATGAATCTCACATGAACAATGAGTAAAGCACATTTTCTACTTCACACGCATGACAGAATAGTCAACATGGAAAACTAAATTTAATCATTCTTCTTTGACCCTTCATTCAAATGTAATTATTATTATTATTATTATACGTACGTACCCTTCTTCGAGGAAGGACGATCATGGCGGGAGTGACGACGTCGTTCTCGTACAAATCACCTGCTACGTAGAGGTCACGGTCCTGGGAGTAACTGTAGCGAAGCAATCCAGCAGCTTGCCTGGCTGACTCAAAGCACTGAGTGAAAGGCATGTCATTGTTCCAGTCCCAGCTTCCAAACGCCGGTACATGGCTGCTGCTTTTCTTGTAGTAATACTCCTGCATACTCAAAAAAATTAATAAGCAACCAAACAAGATCGTTGTGGAATTACAAACGTAGGTATAAACAGAATACTGGTGAAGAAAGAAGAAGACCCGAGAGAAAAAAAAAAATACTCACAAAGTCCATTTCTGACAGTGGTAAGCTCGTCGAGAGTTTTGAATTTTTCTATGGGATGGTTTTGGGTTAGGAGTGAAGGGTAGGGTTTAATTTAAAAGAGAATGGAGAGAGAGAGAGAGAGAGAGAGAGTGAGGTAAAGTAAGAAAGGAAGGCAGAAAAGGAAGTTTCAGAGTAAGAGACAGAAGAACCAAGAAGTAAGGTAAGAGTTAAGAGAGGAGGGTGAAGGTGAGATTGCTTTGGTTTTGGGGTTTGCTTTATATTCTGTTTGGATCATCTTTAATTAACTTTTTTTCTTTATATTTTATTGCTTGGAAGTTTGCCCGGTTTTGTCGAATGTAGTGTATATTCCAATGCGTGATGTAAAATTAATTAATGAATTAAAGTGATCATCAATAAGGTAAAGCCAAACGGGATGTTATTTTTTGAGCTTTTTATCCCCACACGCCTACCCCTCTTATGATACTTAGTGCTCTGTGCCATTAACATTAAAAAGGGTTTCTTTAGTTATATATATTTTTTTAAAAAATATAATATATATATATGGATTAGAGGGAAATGAAATGAAGTCAGTATTAGGTCAACTGTCAACACAACACAAGGATTAATGCTTTTGCAAAATTTCAGATTATAAAAAAAAAAAAAAGGTTTAAATTAACTTGCAGTGGACAAAATTCTCAGAAGTCAGGTAGGAAGAATTGCCCTTAATTTATTATTATTACTGTATGAATACGGAGAGTTTGGCAGTTGGGCTAGCTAGTTGGGTAGGGGTATGTACATGCCAGAGCCTTTGATTTCTGAGCTCCCTCATAAAAGGCTCAACTTTCCAAACTTTTTTTAAACTCTTGAATTTTAGTAGTTATAAAATGAATACATGTATTGAAATAATTAATTATATATGTGTTTGATTTAATATTTTAAGTGGGTTTTTCACTTAAGACAATTTTATTTTTGAAAAAAAAAAAAAAGTGAGGTTCTTTTTAATGTATGTATTGAAATAATTAATTATGTATGTGTTTGATTCAATATTTTAAGTAGTGGGTTTTAAAAATCCACTTAAGAAGTGGGTTTTTTTTTTTTTTAGAAGGGTATTGGTTAATGTTCTGAAATTATGGAGTAGCCCTAGGAATGAATTAAATTTTTTTGTCATGGGAGATTGTAGCTATTCTGTTACCATCCTAAAAACTAGAGCCAATAAGTTTAAAAATACGAAGGAACAAGTTCAATATCTTTGAAAAGAATTAAACCTAGGGACCCCTCAAGTAGAACACTGCCAAATACATGAGTTCCTTCTTTATTCCATTTATTTTGTCTTGTCATATATATATATATATATATATATATATACATACACACAGGAGAGCTTTTTATCACTATGCTCATAATCATGACCAGTGGCATTGTGGTATTTGTGTGTGTATATATATATATATATATAAATATAAATATAAATAAAGCTATATTCTTATACTCTGTGCAGATAACATGAATTTCTTCTTTGTTCCTCAAATTTTGTCCTGCATTCAGTCTTCTCTATGTATGTGTAAAGTGACATGTATGTGTATATATGTAATGAGATGAATGTATGGATCGTAAAGAGAGTTTGTCGTGGTATATATGTAAAGGTGGAATACTTGGTAGCTGGAGCAGGTGGGAGGATAGATCCTCTTCCGAAAAGCAAAGAAGCAAAAGAAGAAAATGTAGGAGGCAGAGGTAAGTATTGTCCTTGTCAGTTTTTTACATCCTTCCAGACCATTCTGTAGCCTCTACCTCACTTTTACATTTACTCCTTCCTGTTCCTCTTTCCAAGAAATACATTTTAAAGTTTGAATCTACAATCTCTAACTCCTTAATTTGTGGATCTATTATTCTTTATTTTATAATAATTAAAATTTTAAATTTAATTTAATATTTATTTATTTTTATCATAATTATTAATTATACTTATTATCTCAAATGACTGATAAATGTTATACATAATTTGTAAGAAATTTATGCACATTATTTTGTTTATTTAAAACTGAACAGTTAGTTTGAAAATTTTATATTAATATCTAATTTTTTATCTTCTGGTTCTTCGAATTTATTTTTATATTATTTTATTCTCGTTGAGTTTTATCAATAATAACATTGATAATGTTGTAATATATTATCTATGGTGTTATTACTTCATCAATCAACAAGATTACAAGTCATTGTATAAAGTTTCCACTCAATTAAACCCTAAACTTCTGAATTTTGTTTGATTAGCAGCAGCCCTTTCATTGACAAATTCTAACGTCCATTTGATCAGTACGAATCTACCTGGGCATGCATATATATATATATATATATGTGTGTGTGTGTGTACGTATATATAACATTAGTACATGATATCACAGTAGTTTTTATGATATTGGGCCTTATTCTAACATGGATCACAAAAGTAAGGACAGCATTTTTTTTTTAATTTATTTTACCTCAAATCCCAATGGGCTTCAAAAGATGTTCTTCACAAGATAACCCACCAATATCTCCATTTCAGTCCATCCATGGTTTGTGAGTAAAGAAAGTAGGTTAAATTACAGTTTCATGGTTTCGTATATTAATAAAATATAATCTTTTTTTTTATAAAAAAATTACTTTATACATAATATTATGTGATTTAATTTATCTTTTTTTTTTATCACATATTATAAATTTTTTATGTTTATAAACAATTTTCTCTTTAAATTTTTAATTTTTTTAATAAAAAATTTATATAAATATAAAAATACTCTATTGAGAATATCAAAGAAATGTATGTAAAATGTTAAAAAAAAAAATTAAAAGTAAATGGCTTTCAACTGCCTTTATATTTTATAAAAGAGCTGTTTGAATGCTTCAAATGGTTTATAAAAAAAGTTAATAATTCCTCTAAATCATACATTTTATTATGTTATATATATATATATATATTAATTATAACGTAACTTACTAATAAAGATATATGAAAATGAATAATTCAATTTAATTTATAATTTTTTTTAAAAAAATAAAATAAAATATCAATCATCCAAATAAAAAAATAATAATAATTAAACAATGTTTTGCTAACTATATAAAGAAGTTTTAGGTATATTTGTTTTCCAAATACATTTATTCACAGCTATTTGTTTTCCTTTCAGCCTCTTCACTCAGCATCTGCCCAAGATTCTTTTGGTTCTGGATAAACAAACACACACCCACACACATAATAGATACACACCCACATATATATATATATATATATATATATGTATAATCTCTCCAAAGTCTTAAAAGGTTTGACGGAAAGAAACATTGATACTATATATATATACACGCACATGTATATGTCTAATCTTTCCAAAGTCGTAAAAGTTGACGGAAAAGAAACATTGCATTATCTTAGAAAACAAAATAAAATTAAAAATACCTCAATCCCATAATCAGGATGCTTTTATAGTGTTATATTTATGTGTATTTTTCATAAAATATTATTCTATTAAATACAATAAGTATGCGTTTAAGTAGTTTTATAATAAACTGTTATATGTTTTATTCGAAACATTGGAGATAAAATTTACTAATTACGAAAATTCTAAAAAGTGAAAAGAATTAGAAACTTATGGTAACAATTAATCGCCTACATATATATATATATATATATGTATATGTATATAATAGAACTGCACAAATTGGTGAAGCAATGGTCCAATTATCAATCGCCCCGTGAGTTGTGAGTGGGAGGATCCTGCCAATTCTAGTTCACGGGTGTGCAACTAGTGGCTGATATCTTCCCTCCCTTCTTATATAAATGGTGAGTGGCTCATACATGCATCATATTCATATATAATCAATTAGATATAGCTTGTTGAGATTTTGTTAAGTGTGATATAACTATGAAGTTGGTGGGTTTGGTGTTGATGGTGTTTATGATTGGAACCGCACTAGTGTTCGAGAGTTGCACAGCAGTGAGTCTGTGTAACATGGACGAGGGTGGCATACTGGCCTGTAAGCCATCAGTCACCAACCCCAATCCGGTCGATCCCTCTGCCGATTGCTGCAAGGCTCTCTCCGGAGCTAACTTGACGTGCTTGTGTTCTTACAAGAACTCACTCTTCCTGCCTTCTCTAGGCATTGATCCTCATCTTGCCTTGGCTCTCCCTGCCAAATGCAACCTTCCCAGTCCTTCTGATTGCTAAGGTCCACTTCCCCCTTCCCCCCAAACCCTCTCTCTCTCTCTCTCTCTCTCTCTCTCTATATATATATATATATATGTATGTAGATCTATATACGTAAACAGTTGGGGCAAAAGATATAGAACCCATAACCTAAAAAAGACTAAGATGCTCACTAAGGCCCAGAATTACATTAATGGGCTTCAAAAACCAATGTTCGTGTAACCAGTGAACCACTGAGTCTTTAGTGCTTGGGTTATATACTGACACCTTTAACTTCCAGCAATTATGAGTTCTGAAAGCACTTTGGTGTATTTCATTAACTTCAAGGAAAAAAAAAGAGCTAGTTATTTGAAGACTAGAAATAACTTGGGAGGTTCATAAAGTACAAAACTTAAATTATGTTTTTTTGTAAAGATTTAGATTAAATAATTTATATTTATGGAATTTGTTAGTATATTCATATTTCCCGAACTAATAATTTCATTTGTTATGCAGCTGTTTTTACCTGAAAATGGCAACCTGAGAAGGAACTGAAGAATGAAGAAACAATCTTATGGTTTGAGGTTTAGAAGCAGCAAGGACTACTTCTGGATGTTAATTAGTAGTGAAAAATATTTGGTTATGAAGTTTGAAGAATGTTAATGACTCACGTTTTCTGTAATTTATCTATATGATTAGTTAAGTTTACACAGCATGAATCATAAAATTAGCAAAAACCTAACTTCCACAGGCCCTAATTTAATTTCGGTTGGGACAATCAATTAAAAACAATAATAATAAATCTATCTTAGATTATTAACGTAGGAAGAAGAAATGGCCCAACCTCAGATTGCAGAGCCCGCGCAATCATCAGAATTTTTATTAAACCCAGCTGTCGATTTTCAAATCTTCATTCAGGTTGCAGAGCTCTCCATCTTCCGGCCAGACATTTTTGGGACCACACTATCCATCCCACGTCTCATGAATGTTTTAAAAATAAACATTTAAAACCCTGACTCTTCGACACGTGTCTTCCAGTCGAATCGATCCGTACCATTATTACGCTAAAACCCTCGTTTCTTTATTTTCTCAGCACGGGCGGCACCGCCCCCATAAATAAGCACTCCCCGACCCATTAAATTATAAACGTAGTTTAATATTATCACACAAACAAGATCATAACTTGTAACGAGGCACAACTATAAACTGCCCATTACTAACCAAACATCCCTTATCCACAACTCCACCAACGTAAAAGGTCTATAGTACCCCTATATCCAATTTTTTTTTTTTTTATAAATCATGGAAAACAATCGACGCAAGCCTTGGGAACGTTCACAGAGAAAATGGATGAGCAGAATACTGTTCAAATTTTTTTCTTAGAAAATTAAAAATAGTAGGAATCAAGTCTAGTAACCTGCCAGCTGTTAGAGGTAAAGAGAGTTCCACAAGGTTTTTCTCAAAATTACCATACTACCATCATGCGTGAAATATCAAATTGCTCACTGCCTAACCCTATTTCGTCACCTACTCCTACCACGCTAGAAAATCTTTATCTGATACGGGTCCCACCAAGATCAAAGACATTTTTTTTTTTTATAAAAAGCAAGATTAAAAGATCCCAAACAGATCGGACAGCCTCTAAGCTTCCACGTCTGCGCATTTCTTCGCCGGGGAAGAGATACACCAGGTGAAGCCAAAAGGATCCTTCAACTTGCCCACGCGTCCACAGCACGCGCCCTCCTCCTCCGTAATCTCACCATCTTTGGCAGCTCCGACGCTCACAGCCTTCTCAACAGCACCCTCCACGTCCTCGGTCTCCAGGCACAGCACCGGCCCTGACGCCTCGGTCTTTACTCTGGTCAACCAACGCTCGACAAGAAAAACACCAAATCAACACCTTACATAAGGTCAAACATAATGCTTAATCGTTCAACTCAGACGACGAACCAATAAGATAAATAGAAACAGACAACTGAATGGATCTAAACCTGGATGTAGACAAACTAAACCATCACGGTCAAACAAAAACCTCAACCGGGTAAGACAGTTAAGGAAGTAAAAAGCGGACTCAAACAGACAACGGAGAAACAGGGATCAAACATAAGCGTTAAAACGATACGTAATAACACGAGGAGTTAAATATTGACTTGAACAAAACAAAAACAGGAAAATATTAAGGGAAACCTCGGTTAAAATGCCTTCAAATTCGGGATTATGACCAGCCAGTATATTATCTAGTTGTAGAATTCAAACAAGCGAAATAAGTAATAACGCACACATGCAAATGAACAATAACCAGTTTCATGCAGAGATCTACGCGGCTAATACATATACAAAGCCATGCATGAGTAGAAAATCGTATTTGACAGTGTATTTGTTAAGAAGGAAAAAGGGATCGTACGGAGCAGCTGAATCACTGGAGATATCGGAGACAAGGATGATGGAACCACCGATTTCAAGCTGAGCCGTGAGGATGTGAGGGAGCTCCTCTTCAGCCTTGCGCTTCGGGTACAGTGAACGACCAATCTCCACAGCACCAAACGCGGCCTTGTAGAACTGGATGGCGTCTGCTGCCTTAGGAGCCTCCACAAGCAGCTGAGGCTTCAGCGCTTTGAAACCGACAGTCTTCTCTACAGCGGCGCCGTTAGTCACTTCCTGCCGTTCCGCCATTAATGCTTGCTCTTGCTTTCTGCTAAACTGTGGTCCTTCAACGAGGTAATGCCCGAACCCTAAGAGAGAGAAATGTGATAGAAATGGAAATAGCGTGAGAAAGAGGCTGTGAACAGCATTTATAGAAGCGGGGAAGCGGAAAAGTTTGTAAGAACAAAACAGTTTTTAATTTCCATAATTACCCTTACTTTTGTATTATTTACGAGCGACTACCCCTCCTCTCTTTACCTCTTTCTCGGCTTCTCAGACCAGACTACCCTTGGCGTGTCTCACACTCAAAACCGGGGCGTTTGGACTTCAGATTTTCCGAGGGCACCCCGGCGCGCCCCAATCGAACACTAGAAGCACTGTCGTTACTTTAATCTTAACAAGCTAATTAATCATTTTACCTTTAAGAGAAACAATTGCCTAGCAAATCTGACGATTTTCTCAGAGGAATTCCGACTGGTTATGCTGACACACTGGGATAATATCGCTTAATTAGTAATTAAAATTATTAAGAATTTATGATAATTAATTTATAAGTTATGGGATATATATATAGGTGCAGAAAAATCACCGGCCACAATACTAAATTTAAGGATTATGTTGACAGCATAGAAAGATCTAATGTTTCTTGATTGCAAGAATCTAATTAATTATATAAATATTTTACTGTTTACCCATGTGAGAATGGCATTAAAGGATCTGACTGGGATGATACAAGTCTTATTTTAAGTAAGTTTAGTCAGCTAATTGAAAAAGCTTACGTTAAGTAATGCATTAGTTTATAATTTTCTTAAAAGCGGTATAAAAATTGGGCAACCCAATGACAAACTGACACTGGGAGGAAGGGTCTGGTTAGGATATTGTGAGCAGGTTTTGAACTTTTTGGCAGCATTCATGCAGAGCCCTTTAATCTTCCTGTCGTTGTCTGCTTTTACTTTTTTACCCTTTCTTTCCAGGGACAGGCAGGCAGCAGAGTTTGCTCAACCGAATCCTTGTTAACAGTAACTGTCCTTCTCGCTTCACAAAATTACTACTTTACCACCCAACGGCCCAGCCTCTGTAAACATCTCAATTGGGCCGAAATGTCGGTAAAGACGTTCTCATCGGGCTAGCCCGGTTTGACTTTTTTTTTTTTTAAAAAAAATAGTAAATAAAATAATAATAATAATAAAACTAATTGTTATTTCGAATGCAATTTAAATTTTAAGGCTATGTTTGAAACAAATATAATAATAATAATATGAAAGTCATTTATAAATTCATGTTATTTAAATATGCTAATATGTCAATTGTTTTAGTATTTAATATAATTGACTTAAATTACAATATTAATTTTTTTAATACCAATAAGATCCAATGACATATGTAAATATTATCATCTATATGACATTAATACATTAGCATTTAATATTTTTTGTGTACATGCATCTGATTATGCATATAAATATATTATTAATATTTAACACAAGACAATCGCAAATTTTAATTATTGTATATCATAAGCACATAAATAATAGTATAATTAATAATATCATAATATTATAATATGAAAAATACAAAACACACAGTTAAATTTGTAACTATATTTTTAGAAAAAAATAAAATTACTAACCATCTAGTCAAATAATAATTGAAAAATAAATGTGTAGATTTTGTTTTTTTAGCTCAGTTGTTATTGTTATAATATGTATGTGACTGCACATACATTTTATTCATTTTTCATGGTACATTTATAATCCCCGTACAATGGTGAATAATGGAAAACAGTAATTATATAATTTAGAAAATTTAATATTTTTCATATTCTAAAATTTAAATTATGTTTGTCGGTTTAAAAATCTATTTGTAACATATAAAATAAAAATAATATATTTGGGCCTAAATCTGGCCCCATTATTTTAACGGACTGGCTATGCCGACGAACAGCTAAGCTCTCCGCAGTATCTATGATTTTTCATATTCCCGTTTTAATTTATTTTTTCAAAATATTACGGTTCTAATCCAAAACCCCACAGTGCAGACAAAATTTGCCCAAAACCCCAACACACTGCAACTGCATTCGCGCAGTAAAGCGAGCGACAAATGTTTCAGAGCAATCTCAACATCTTCTTCTCTTCGTCATCATCATCATCGTTCACACATCGCACTTCTCTTTTTCTTCCTTCAATTTCCTTATATCGCCATTGTTGCTCTTCTTCTTTTTCCTCGAATTGGCAATTGAGGTTACCTTTTAAGAGGAAGAAGCAGCTATTGACCTTACGTGCCAGTTATGAGGTTGGTGGCAGCTACTCAGATGAGGGATTATACTCACAGGACAGAACCTTCAGCTCACAGCAACACGAACAGCGGCAAGGGGAGCAGAAATTAGACTCTTCCCAGTATGAAGCTTTGCTCAAAGGAGGAGAGCAAGTCACTTCTGTCCTCCAAGAAATTATTGTCCTCGTGTGTTTCCCTCTCCTTCTCTATCTCTTTCCTGCTTACTTGATACTAAATATAGTTAAGGTTTCCTCAATTTATGTACGTGTCTGTGTGTGTCTATATATATAGATAATATTAAGGATTTTTGATGTATTGATTTTTTTTTTTAAAACATTTTTTGAGATTATGTTTTAGGGTATGTAGGCAAAACGTATAACACTTAGTTTTTCATTAGAATTTATCTGTTGTAAATAGCTTAAAGTATCATACTGCTTTAGTGCATTTCTCTCGTTCAAAAAATCCCAAACACCCTCTTAAAAAATAGTTGACCACAAACATAGACATAATCTATGCCTAAGGATATATATCTTTATGAACTTCGATTTTATATACAGAAGTTTGTATGCACATGAGGAATCTTAGTTTTGAGAAATCATTTCCATTTAATATATATATCTTCGATAGTTTTGTGAAAATAGCAACTAAACAAAGGAACTATCTTCTTTTTTAAATTAGCAGAATTTATTTCCGGATTCTATTAGTTTCAAGTTTTATTTCCTCATTATATTCTTGCATATTAGGTATGGTAGATTGTTGACGCTGAGAACTTTAAAGCACCTGGTGCCCTCTTAACTCTTAACCATGTGCTCATCTTATTCAATGCGTTGGGATTCTTTATTCATCCTGCTAGTTTTGGAGATGTAAGCTGTTTTGGCTGTTATGTTGTGGGTGTTTTGACATTTACTATCAGTATAAACATTCACGGCAGAAAAATTTCCTCCCAATTAGGTACAAGGGGATATATTTATCTACTTGAGACAATCGGTTCTTTATCTTGTGTGTCTTTGATGCGTAGTCTGGTTCAGTTATTATGAAACATGCCATAAAAACTGGTGTTTGGTGATTCTTTGGTATTCATTGGACCGCTGGGTAGGATGGAGGGGATAGTTTGGAAGGTTGACCTCGTTTATGTATCCATTGAGGATTACTACATGGATTATTAGTGTCTGTTCAAAGGGGAACCACAGAATTATTACATTCATGATTTAGCAATTAAATGAAATTGTATTCAGTTCTCCATCTCATCATTTGGGTTGATTTGCATACTTGATGCTTAGGAGGAGCCTAGTAATAGGATGGTGGGATAGAAATAAAGAAAAGCTGTTTAGACATAATTTATGCTTCAGAGGAGGAAATAAGATTTGGGCCTTTGCTTTTTGCCAAAGAACCAAAAGGGTGCTTTCACTTGATTGGATATTGTATTGGCTTCTCATCTAGGATGCTAATGCATGAGTATGATATTTTTATTTTCTGCATTAAATTAATGTTTTCAAGCTTCTAGGTTTAATATTGGAAACTTCTATAGTTTTGTTCCTTACAAGCACATCACTTGTATGTGAATCCTGTCATATTTCTAGTTACTTACTATCCAATGTTATATAACCGAGCATAGTTGGAAGACATGAACATGGATGAGGCATCTGAGGAGGTGGCTGTTGAGTTGGCTGCACAAGGAGTCATAGGAAAAAGAGTTGATGAGATGGAATCAGGCTTCATGATGGCCCTAGATTATATGATTCAACTTGCTGAAAAGGACCAGGATGATAAGGTGCTACTATTTTAACTTTGCATTTGATTCTTAAGCATCAGTATGGACCTTTGCCTGTTGATTATAATTGTTTTACTGCTATGCTGCATGAAATTCCATTTCAGCAATACATGTGAAATGCACCAAACTGATTACTTTAGTATTGAAAATGACTTTGATCAACATCTCAATAGCATTTTAAAACTTGTTAATTCAGATTCAGATTGGTTAGAACTTACCATTTTTGTAACTTTTATTTCTGTAAGAATAAGGTGGAACACAATTTTTTGGAAAAGTCATTCAGAACCTTAGTTTGTGTTTCAGTTTAGAAATAGATCTGCTGCAGCTAGTTATCACATTTTACAGACTTCCTTTCTTTTTTCTTGAGAAACACATGCTGCAAACCTTCCAATTACTGGAAATTGGTTTTAGATTTTACATATGGTTGTCAACTTTGTGGACTTTATGGGAATACCAAGAACTAACTATACAGCAACATATGGTGAGGCTATTTGGCAGTTTATCAGCTTTTGCTTGCTACTGACCATTAAATTTGACCAACCTAGAGCTGGTTGCCTTGCATTTGAATTATGAAGTTTTGGTATCTTTTTTTGTTCAAAGCTCTCACTTCATATTTGAAGTTCTATGATGATTCAGAAATTGATTTTAACTAGTTTTTTGTTCAGCGGAAATCATTATTGGAGGTGATCAAGGAGACTGTATTATCTCATGTTACAAAAAAATGTCCTCCACATGTAAGGAAATTCCTTATGGCTTAATTCTGTATTATATTTGTTTTTAATCATCAAAAGGTTGTCTAAAACAATGAATTATTGTTATCTTTTCTTTTACCAGGTTCAAGTGATTGGCTTGCTCTGTAGAACGCCCAAGAAAGAAAGTAGGCACGAGCTACTACGCCGAGTGGCTGCTGGTGGCGGTGTTTTTAAAAGCGAGAATGGCACCAAGCTTCACATTCCTGGAGCAAATCTGAATGACATTGCTAACCAAGCTGATGATTTATTAGAGGTAGTTACCTTAAAAAACTGATCATTTTCTTGACAATTTCGAGTCTATTACAGGTTTGACTCTTTCTTGAACTATCTGTTTTCTTTTCTAGTTCACCAACTTCTTCTATTACTTGGTTTTCTGAATAGTGGATGGTTGGCACTGGGGTTGGTTACTCATTTAGCTGAATGATCATCTAAAGTTTATTTTGTTACAGTTGTTATTTCCTTGTCAAAAATGAAGTGAAATTCTTGTTTTAATGAAATTCTGTGTTTTGTACTTATCGTTGGCCTCTCTAAAAGCAAGATAGATTTGTTAAATTTCTTTTTTCAATTAATAAAAAAAAATATTTTTAAGAATTCACTGCTAGAAATCATGTTTTATTTCGGCAACAAGAAAGTTAGAAGTCCGATATCTTTTACATGGAGTTTTCTGTTGGTTAATGATCGGGGTGGCAACAGGCCAGCTGATACTTGAATCTTTGAGTTTGATTTTTTTTTTTTTAACAATGTCAGATTTGAAGCAAGTATCTTATATTTTTTTAGGTTCTAGTTTGTCTCGTTCTGGAGACGTAGAGTTCGAGCTCATTTTGAAAAAAGCTTGATAAAAATATTGCTGAATGAGTTCAGGGTCGAATAAGTTCGAACTGTACAAATCAAGCTCAATAAATGCAATGGAGAACTCGATTAACAATTTGTTTACTTAATTTTATTTAAATATTTGAAAATATATTTAATATATGATTAAAATATTATTACTTCTAAAACATTATATATTTTATATTTTAATAAAATATATAAAGAACATTTAATTTATTAATAGATAAATGAACAAATTTGTGAGGTTTTGGACTAAATATCTTCAGCTTGAATTCGACGTGTTTAGCTAAACTAAAATTTTGGTAACTTGAACTTGAGCTCGACTTTGAGTTGATCGAACTTGAACAAACTTTGACCAAACCAAATACGAATGGTTGACGTATATGTTGGGACCATTGCCACCCTTAGTTAATGATACAGGTTATTCAGTCCTTTATCTTTTGTTGGGATGGGATAAGGGAGGATTTGTTTATGGAAAAAGATAAGTTGCATTAAAGAAATGTTGATTATTTTTCTTGGTAGCCTTGATTTTCCCTTCCCACTCTCTCTATAAGTGAATTTACTAGATAAATTTCAATGTGTAATTTATATTTGGTTATGATGATTTTTCTTAGGGATTTTTTTACGTCCATTACTTGATTTGATACAGTCACTTGAAACTTTTAAATGTTTGGATTGTGGATGGAGACCATATTTCCTTTTTAACACGTTCTTCATTGTTCAATATTTGCAGACAATGGAAACCAGACCTGTTGTTCCGGATCGAAAGCTACTTGCAAGACTTGTCTTGGTTCGAGAGGAAGCACGGAATATGATGGGCGGTGGAATACTGGATGAAAGAAATGATAGAGGTTTCAATACTCTTCCTGAGTCAGAGGTCTGTGCCTTGATATCTATGAGATCTCAAATAAATTTGACAAGATAATTGGTTAACCATATTCTGTTTTCCCTATAATATGTTATTGAGGAATTATTTAAATCAGTAGAGAAATCTCTTCATGATACTTTAACTCTGTTGTTGGTCTCCTAATGATAAGTGGAACGAATTATAACTTTTTATTCTGCAGGTGAACTTCTTAACAAAGTTAGTAGCCTTAAAACCTGGTACAAGTGTCCAAGAAATGATAAAAAATGTAATGCAAGGGAAGGATGAAGGTGCAGATAATGTGAGTGATGAGGAAGATGCTACTGGAAGAAAGAGATCCAGTGGAATTTCAGGAAGGGTCAGTTCTGTTTCATTATTTTCATAGATGGCGAAACATGTGTTCTGATGAGTTGATGAATATGAGTGCACTCGTTAGAACATATTAATCCCCACTTCTTGTGATCTCCAGGCAAGTGTTACAGGACAGACGCCACTTCCTGTGCGGCCTGGCATGTTTCTCGAGACTGTCACAAAGGTAACTATTATATTGTCCATGTTAATGGCTAACAGCACACTGAAGAAAGAAAAAAAAAGGCCAGGGGAAACAGGAGCAGGTGTTGGGTTGTGTAGATGAGCTTAGGTTATGCACTCAGAGCAATCTACTATATTGCATTCTCTTTAGCTCGTGGGCTTGAGCTATTCCTATACCCAATTATGATTAATCAAAATCCTCATTAATGGATGGACTTATTAGGTCTTGGGCGGTATATATTCTGGAAACGTATCTGGGATTACTGCACAGCATCTAGAGTGGGTAAGTTATCCTTCACTTGACAATTTCATACTCTGAAATCTGGTTATATGCAACCTATGGTGAAAAATAATGACCTCGATCCCATTAAAAAACTAGTTTTGAGCAAAATTATGTGGAGACTATTATTGATATTTTGATGTTTATTTGCGCTCAGTTTACTATTTGACTGTGACATAGTAGGCCTTTGCACTAATCATATATATTTTTTCCTTTTGCCTGTTTTGTTTGTCTTATATCCAGGTCCATCAGAAGACACTTCAAGTTCTTGAGGAAATAGCTTACTAGTACTCCTGGTAGTGATTTGGATGTCCCCTATCCTTCTCTGATTCATATCTTATGCAGGCAGAGGACAGTCAATCATGGTATTGGTGGCAAAATATCAAATAATTTATCATTGAGAAGGTATAGTTTTTAAAACATGGATTTAGATATGGCAAAATGAAACCTTTTTTAAAAAAAAAAAAAAAAAATTCCAGATTTCACATTGATTGTCCGTAGCTAAATTATATTCTCCCAATTCCAACAGCTCAAATTAATAAAGGAATTAGATAAATTAAGTCAAAGGCATGTGAGTAGAAAACCAAACTTCTTATTAGTGGATAAAATTAGTAGTTAGGGATATCTTGGTAGTTCTTATTCCTTTACCCCGTAAGAAGACGCTTTAAGACTATAAGTGCACTAGCATATATTTAAGTTGATTGCTAGCTGTGGACATTTTCAATAGGTGTTTCGTTCATTTCTCATTTAGTTAGTTTCTAATTCCAATTCTTACATAAATCTTAATATACATGATTAGAACATAATCTATACCGTGCAATGTTGAATTATTTGATTATAGAAATTCATTTTTCACATTGAGAGATGGGCATTGAATATCCATTATCATAGAATTAAAGGTGGAGGTAGGTGTTAATTCTAACACAACAAATTATTTTTAATTATACATATTAAGACTAATTTGCACATTAAAATTAATAATTGACTAGAAATTGAATGGAAAAAATCAAATGCAATCTAATTATCTATTCTAAACCTGCCATCAACGATAATTTGCATACTGCCGTTATATAGTTTATGGTTCTAAATTAAGTTATTGCAACTTGTCATTCATTGTTGGATTTATTAAGGCTATGCTTGAAACATCTCTAGACATTTAGTGGAGTTCTACTAGAAATTGGAAAAATTATCCCTAAAGATGTAGTTAGTGTTTCTCAGTTTTTAAGTCTTAAGAGTTTACTGGGTCTACTTACAAAATTAAGCATTGAAGTGGTGATTAAAGGCCTCTTTAATCAAATCTTCAATGATCAAACAAATCAGAAGCATATGCAAGTCCCACATATCAGCCTTTTGTTGCATACAGGATCAGCCAACAATGATGAAAATTTAAAGTTCCAGTTTTGCAAGAGTGAATTGCCATGTGGGGAAAGGACCCACACTTAATTAAATCTTGTGAGTGATGAAATTGGAGGATCGGTGTAAGGCCTCTTAGGTAATGATTTGCATGTTGTGACAAAGTAGAAGCAAACACAGCAGGGATTCCTCCATTTTTGGCCCAACTAATTTCTTCCTTTTTTTTTTTTTTTTTTTTCCCTCTCATTTGCCTTTTCCCTACGTCTATACCCTCCTCCTCTTCCTCTTCCTCTTTGCCTTTTTGGTAAAGCAAGCATATTCTACTTGCCAACATTTTAACTCTCACCCACTCCCAACATATGCATATTTCTATTAAATGTATCATAATTTCAAATCCACACAAAATTTATTGAAAATTTTTATGAAATTTAAAGTATGTTATTGTGATTGTATTTGAAATTTATTTAGAATAAATTTTTTTCATTATTCTATAATTATCCATTTTAAATTCAAGGTATATATTTTCAAATGAATTTGACAAGAAGGATCTATTTGTTCCAAGTATACCATTTGATTCATTTCAAATAAATGGGTGAAAACGAAGTAAAACTAATACAGACTCATTTGATTATGAATTTTATTGGATTCTCTTCGGGTCTTGTTCACTTTTATCATTTGCTATACTCAGGGTCAGATTGCCCTACCAACGGTGATAGTTCTTGTTTGTGCTCTTCTTGTTTTCTTCTTTAGCTATTCTTTTCCTCAGAAGTAGTAAAGAAGTTGAAACTATCTTGGCATGTTTTTTCAGGCTTTGCTCGTGATAAATTAAAGAATTATTACTCACTTAATTAGTCCAATTATGATTATTGTTATGTTAAAAGTAAATTTATGCCCCCTAGTTAAGGCAGAAAGTATCTTACTCTTTGGTCAAAGGTTGAGGACTTATCGCTCTCTATGTTCATCACACAGTTTGGTTGTGATTAGATTTCAGAAGTTAAGTATTCTTTGACATGTGATTAGTACACAGAGACTGACAAATGCCAATTAAAATCAATTGTAGTCCCAATAATCTACAAGAGATCCGTGGTGTATGTTTATGTTGATTAAAACTTCATGGTCCATCCTTCAACATAAATATCTTAAAAAGTATATTCACTACTCTGGTGCATTAAATATTTAATAATATGAAATAGATATTAAACCGACAACCTTTTTAATAACATATATATATATATATATATGTACTTATGTTTTCCCTATTAAAACTTCGTGACAAACAAGTAAAACAACAATATTGTTCTGGTGTGGAATGCAACCCAGGTCTGTAAAATACTTGGTACGCAAAATATTAGACATGAGTAACATGGGTTTGCCTCCGTAACTTTTTGTTCGATAGCTTGTGTAGGTATCATTGTTGTTGTTAAAATGCCAATAAATTGGCGTCAAGCTTTCTTTATGCCATATACTTGGCTACATAACACTAGTAAACTTACTTATAGCTTAGATTTTTGGAGTGCTAATTCAAACAGTATTAGCTAGATTTTCTGATTGAGTAGGTTAGGTGAAACTTAATTTGAGTAATCTCATTTGTTGGATGTGAATTTGTATGCATACAATTTATTCAGCTTTTCCCTTAGATAATTAGATTAGTCGCTGAAAGTACCAATTAATTCTAAAGATTGATTTTTTCCACAGTTATATATAACTTTTACTTTAGTAGATTGTGTAGACAGTCTATTCAGTAAAAATAGTATTATCAGTAGTGCTACTACATGAAAGTAATTTGAAAGGACAAACTATGTTACAAAGAAATAACTTCATTTGATTATAACGATTTTAGAAAGAACTTTATAACTTACATTTTGCAAGTTAATAGATCAAAAATGAATAATAGATTATGGATTTAGAATGAGACAATCGGAGTAATATTTTTAAGTTTGTAAAGTATTTTTATCCTTACATGCTTGATTAGATTAAGTAAAAATTCCAAAAGTAACTCTTAGTTCTTCCAAAAAAAAACTGGAACTTCAGAGCTATACGTACATAACTACACACGTAAGTATATATTTCATTTGAAGAAAAAAGCAGTACTATTCCAAAGCTAAAACAATTTTACGATGCCAAGAAGGGTATAATGAGGTTATGAGTAGTGTTGGTTGTGCATGATGCATCGGGTTTTATACACGGAGTCATTTGCATAATGAGAGTAAAAGGTGCAAGTGTGAAGGTGGTTGCGTATCATAAACACCTCCCCACCCATATCTTCATTTTCTATTCCTCTATCTCTCTGGTCCCCGCAATCACATGCCTATCTTCTTCCTTAAAAACCAGTGTAGTTGCATATTTATATATCTATATATCATACACATTTACACTCACATATATATACACTACCTTTAAAAGTTCAGATGACAGAAAAGGTGACACCTCGTGCTCGTAAGAAATGTTATCACACCATCCATACGTGATATGTGCATTTCTTTGCCATGTTATTTATTATTATTTTTGGGGTAAATCTTATTAATTTCAAATTATATATGCCCAAATGTTTAAAATAATTTACATGCCTAAATCTTATGTTAGTTTTTATATGATTTTAGGATACCACGACTTTTATATTTAAACTCTCTCTCACTCATCTTAAAAATTAATCATTAATTTTAATAAAATGTGAATTGAAGAACACAAGACCTAAGATTTATCAAAAATGCTTTTTTTTTTTTTTTTTATCAAAAAGAAGTTATATATGAAAATTAATATAAGGATCCGCGATGTGGATTAATTAAAATAATTATAAAAATTAATAAAAATGAAAGTAAAAAGTTTTAAATTTTGTTGGTGTTGGTCAATTTTATATACATCATTTCATTTACAACAAATTTTAAAATTAAAGTTAAAGTTAAATGGTTACCAAGAAACGAGATTTCTTTTTTCTTGATTGTAAACTCTAATTTATTTGCAAAATTATTACAATATGTTGGCAGTACAGTGTTTGATAGCATATTACACAATTTTTAAAGTTGAATTTTTATTATTTTATTTCATAAGGTACAGCGATAATTATGTCAATTAAAAAAAATGGAAAAATATTGTGTTGCATACTTAAAATTCATTATTACAAACTAAATAAAAATAAAAATACTCAATTATTGGGTTTAGGTGATTTTGAGGTTCAAATAAGTAAGCATAATTTGCGCATTAATGAAGTTTAAACTTCATTTAAGTCACAAAAAAAAACGACCGTTCTGTTGTATCAAACTCTAACTTTTTAAAAAAGGCAAGCAAACTTTCCCTCTTATTTGTGGGCCCTTTCAATTTGGAATATGCCCACATCATCTTCCTCCCTCAAATTACTATTTTGGACACCTTAACAACTATCATCTTCTTCCTTTCTTAGATTTGCCATCTTTTTTCAACTGCCAACAATTATTTAAAAAATAGTTATTGCACATTAACAAGCCTCAATAATTTTTCGTTTTAAAAAATATTATTCATTTAACTAAAATATAATACGATGTTAATTGGGGAATTAAGTTTTCTGGGTAAAATATTAGTGGGAGAATTTTGTTCTTGAACAACCTTACCACCCTACTACATATTTGAAAATTGGAACAGTAATAAAAAGTAACGGTTGGGGACAAAATAGTCATAATACGAATTTATAAAACGACACCGTGGACCCATCCAACTGTGATGGGCCCCTCTCCGCTCCTACTCTAGTGAAAGACACCACACTCGCAGAGACGTAACGGGAGTAAACAGAGGAAATAAAAAAAAGGGACGAGCTCGTCATAATTTGAATTCTCTCCCCCAACCCCAACTTCGAACACTGACAGCTCCACACCCGTCCCCTCTCTGCTCCCCATTCTCTTCTCCATCTCCAAAACCAGAGTGAATATTGAAAAGAAGTTGTACCGGAACTCGCAAAGTCCATCTAGTAGAGTTTGTTAAGCAAGAGGAAAGCATAACTGACTCTTCTTTCTTTCTTTTCTTGGAGTTCCAGAAAGGAAAAGAAGAGAGAAATGTCAGGTTACGTTGGAATTCTGGTGTCAGATCCATGGCTCCAAAACCAGTTCACTCAAGTCGAGCTTCGTAGCTTGAAATCTCATGTATGTCGTCTCCAACATTCCTCTGTTTCTTTATTTGTTTTCTACTTTCTGGTTTTCGTTTCTGATCTGCTGGTTTTTTATTCGTTTATTTGGAAATGTGCATCCTGTTAGTTCATGAGCATGAGGAGAGAAAGCGGAAAGCTAACTGTTGGGGACTTGCCATCGAGGATGTCGAGATTGAAGGTGGTGGGAGAGAATCTCACGGAGGAAGAGAGAACGTCTCTGATTCAAGATTTGTATCCTAACTCGAACGAAGAGGTTGATTTTGAGTTCTTTTTGAGGGTGAGTTTATCAGATATTTTACTCTTCTTTGTTTTATGCTTCTTTGTAACTGACTTATAGAGATGAAATCAGTGCCATCTTTTTATTGTTTGACCATACAGGTACTGCTCTTCAAATTTGAATCGGTTGTTTACTGCGTTTGACTTTCATTTGAAATTTACTTTTCCTCTGTTTGCTTGGCTGCAACCTGTAGCGGGAATCTTATCCAGAGCGTTTTTTTTTTTACTTTTCATTTCTTCAAATGACTTGATCTATGTTTCCATATTGCTACGAATATGAAGGCAGAGCAAAGTCCAGTTTCCTACTGTTTTTCGCTTGTCACTCACAAGCAAATTTTAGTATAGATATCTGTTTTATTCTAACGTCAGGCAAAAACGAAGTATTACCGTTTAGAGCTCAAGCTTTTTTTTTTTCTTGCTTTTTTTTTAGGATAAAGAGAATAATAATTTTTTATCTTCTAAAGAATCAAATAAGGGGGATATGAATTACGAGAGTTCAATTTCTGACTGGTGTAGGATGTGATCCTGAATTTAAAGTGGATTTTTTTCCCTAATTGGGGCGATACTTCTGCTATCAGGTTTATTTGAAACTCCACGCGCACGTAAGTGCAAGAACAGGAAGTGGTGCAAAGAACTCATCTGCATTCCTCAAGGCAGCCACCACTACTTTGCTTCATACAATCAGTGAGTCCGAGAAGGCTTCATATGTTGCACACATTAATAACTACCTAGCAGGGGATGAGTTCCTAAAAAAATATATTCCAATTGATCCCTCCTCAAACGATCTCTTTGAGATTGCAAAAGATGGAGTTCTTCTTTGGTAACAATCCCGTGCTTATACTTTTACTTACCTGGTTTTTTGTTTATGATTTTCATTGAGTTTGACCATGTAGATTTCTGGATGCAGTAAGCTTATAAATGTGGCAGTTCCTGGAACCATTGATGAACGTGCTATCAATACTAAGAGAGCACTCAATCCCTGGGAAAGGAATGAAAACCACACTCTATGCCTTAATTCTGCTAAAGCCATTGGATGCACTGTAGTTAACATAGGAACGCAAGATTTCATTGAAGGAAGGGTATGTATCCATGCAATTCCATGTAAATGGACTTCCATCACAAATTGTTTGTTCAGTTGAATTTTTTTTCCTGTAGTTTATCGTGTTATATTGGCCAAAACAGAATTTCCAAGCAGAAGCCTAAAGTAGGGATGTAGTGTTTGTATTCCGCAGTGTGGTAGCCTTAATGTGTTCTTCCTCCCATGGCATGTAGCTCAAAAGACATTTTTCTTAATCCCTTGCATGTAGAACTGTGGTCAGATTTTCGTAATGTTTTGGTTCTCATGAATACTGGTCAGACTTTTAAACTCTTAGGCGTTTGTCTCTACGTTGTTGGTAGCTAATTTTTACTTGTTATTTTCTCTATTTTCTTAGACTACTAAACTTCAACTGCTTAGATGATCTCATGCAATGTCCTTTTCCTGATTCTGTTGTCTTGCCTGGTTTCTTCTGTTGATACTTCATCTTGGTGAGTAAAACACATTTGTTCTTACAAGATGATCTTGAGAGCTATTTTACTTTCTTTGTTTGAAATTGGGAAACAAGAGGTCACATTGTTACCCAGTCTCATGCATTTGGTTATTGAAGGGTGTTCTGCACTAGTTCATGCAATCATCGGTGTTTCCTTCCACTGCATTCAATGTTTTATTGGGCAGAAACACTCATTATTAACATAACTTTTGTTTACCATTCTATCAATCAGTACCATTGATGTTCACTTTGATTTGATTTTCAGCGCCATCTTGTGCTTGGGTTGATTTCTCAAATCATTAAGGTAATGTACTTATAGTTTCTATAAATGAAAACTTTTGAGGTTCACATCAGTAACACTGTAGAAATATCTTTGCTGCTCATCTACAAATTGCTCGATTTGTTGACCTCTCTGTTGGTTATGCTCTCTAGATACAATTGTTAGCAGACCTCAACTTAAAGAAAACACCGCAACTGGTGGAGTTGGTTGATGATAGTAAGGCAAGAATTATTTTATTTTCTGTCAGAAAGTTTGGTTCAGTTATTGATTTTGATTCAAGTTCATAATTGAAAGCTTTCTAACATATGCCACCTTTTTATTTTCAAAAAACCAACAGGATGTGGAAGAGTTGATGAGTCTACCACCTGAGAAGATCTTACTGAGGTGGATGAATTTTCAATTGAAGAAAGCAGGATACAAGAAGATAATCACAAACTTCTCTTCTGATGTAAAGGTAGATGACTATTCTTGCATAAAGGAAGAAAATCGTTTTTTTTTTAAAAAGAAGTTTTTAGCTGAAACCTGATGTTTGACTAGTTTAGCTACTCAAAGTCACTAGTTAGAATTTAATTTTTCTCTTTCTGCACGGAAATATTCAAATACAAAGCATGATTTTTCCAACCATATCTCAAATGCTACTCCAGATTGACAAAAGAAGAATCTGAGACCAGCATAACAGCCGTTTAGAGATTACATAGCTTTCTTTCTATATTGTGTATGCTACCTTGAAGCCAATGATTGGTTCACTCAACTGGTAAATGGTTTTAATGGTTCAGAAGATGAAGACGACATGATATTTACTGCTGTGATGAATGAAATTTAGGTATTTATCTTATTACATTTCCTGCAGGATGCAGAGGCTTATGCTCACCTTTTAAATGTTCTTGCGCCTGAGCATAGTAGTCCATCAACATTGTCTGCAAGAACTCCATTAGAAAGAGCAAAACTAGTTCTTGAGCATGCAGATAGAATGGGTTGCAAAAGATACTTGACGGCAAAGGATATTGTTGAGGGCTCTCCAAATCTTAACCTTGCTTTTGTGGCACATATTTTCCAGCACAGGTGGAAAACTACTCTTTTTCAAGCAATGATTTTTATCTTAGAATAAAAACTATTCTCTTTAGACTGTCTCAAGAAATAAATACATGAATCAAGTAAAACCACTATGCATAAGCTGATGATGTATTTGGATGCTACATCTCAGACATATATGCACTTTTGTAGTTTCATCTACTTATGGATCTTTTCTACTCAACCATGGCATTTCTAATATCTAGTATATTCAGGTAGCATAGCTTATTGTTGAAACCAAAATTAAGAGTGGCCACTATATTTGTTCATCTAGAACTTATATATTGTTTAATAAACTGGTTTTTTATGTTACAAAAAGCCATATTTCCGCAGTGACAATGGGTTTGAACCATGTAAATAGGACCATAGACAAATATAACTGCGCTTCTTCACCTCTTAACCAGTTCTGCTTTTTATTCACTCGTATATTTGTAGTGAATTTAATCAGCATATTTAATTATTTAAATAGAAGCTTATAAATGTAAATATAAGTGTGAAAATATTTCATTTTGGTTCTGTTTGATTTGTGAATAGAGGTTGATAGTTTATATCTCTATTTTTTTGAAGGCTTATTTCTTCTAAAGAATACAAGTTAAAGCCAACTAACTATTTTACCTCTGCAGGAACGGGCTTTCAACTGAAACAAAACAAATATCTTTCCTCGAGACTTTACCAGATGACACTCAAATTTCTAGAGAAGAAAGAGCATTTCGCTTTTGGATCAATAGCCTTGGGAATTCAGTATATATCAATAATGTCTTTGAAGATGTTAGAAATGGGTCAGTATTTTTTCATGGATTATATTTCACAATTTTACTCTTACAACAATAAGAAATGACTCTTCTTGTTGTTAGTCCAATGGTTTGTTCTTAAAAAAAAAGGGATTCCACTCTATTCTCATGGTTCTTTGGATATTCAAGTTTCTATATTAACTTTCGTAATTGAAACAAATTGGACTTTTAAGTTTATATTCAACAAAATATTTAAGGTATTGGATGAGAAGATTATGACAACTTTTTACAAATTCGGGAGTGGTTAAGAACTATATTGTGATCTGACAAGTCCTAACTTAATAATCGTTCCCTTCACATACTTTTCTTTTTTCTGTTACTAAAGAAAATTGTCTGTCTTCATTCAGGTGGGTACTTCTGGAGACACTTGACAAGGTGTCTCCCGGGATTGTCAATTGGAAGATTGCAAACAAGCCGCCTATTAAGTTGCCATTTAGAAAGGTAGAAAATTGTAACCAAGTGGTGAAAATAGGGAAACAGTTGAAGTTTTCCCTGGTCAATATTGCCGGAAATGACATAGTACAAGGAAATAAGAAGTTAATATTAGGTACATCCTCTACCATGCTATAAGCTTGTCAAGGTTCTTAAACTGTTTCAAAACTTTGTTTAGGATATTGAGTCCTTCTAAGTTATGAACATTGATTCTTTTTCCTTTTCATTTTACAGCTTATTTGTGGCAGTTGATGAGATATAATGTCCTCCAACTTCTGAAGAACTTAAGATTTCATTCCCATGGAAAAGAAATCATTGATGCTGATATTCTAGAATGGGCCAACACCCAAGTGAGAAATTCAGGAAGCCAAAGTCGCATGGACAGCTTTAAGGTATAAAACACATATACACAATGCTTGTTCCTCCTTGATTTTTAATTTTAGCTTTTAGAGGTTGAGAGTCAAGGCTGCCCTGTGCTACTGATCCCTAAAAATCATGCATACTGTACCGCTTACAGCCTAGGTCCTTCTCTTTGGATGGAGGACTAGATGAACCATACTATCACAATATATACTGTCACAATATAATGGTAACTACAAGTTGGTTGGCTAAATACAGTGAAGTTAGAGTGGAGTAACTACTCAACAAAAATGAAATAAATGTTGTAATACAGTTACAATTACATTGAGATGTTCGGTTCATAATTAGTAATACCTTACTACAATTTCGTTAAAATGTTTTAGTTTGATATTAGAGGTTGGTATAAAACTGTAATAAGCTGTAAATGACTATGATGCCCCTTCTTATTGGATTTGTTTAAAAGTGTAAGTCTATACATTGATAAAATTTTATATAATTATTTAATTAATAAAATTGATCATATGATATTTTGATTTTCATTTTATATTTTTTTAATTTCATATAAATTATTTAAAAAACTTCTTTGTCATTGAAATTATTTAAGATTTTTTATGTTTAATTCTAAAGAATTAAAAAATTCTTTAATTAATTATAAAATTTTCAAGCATAAAACCATATTATTTTATGAATAGGAATATATAGTTTTGATAATAAGATAAATCATTACAACCAAGGTTATACTACTGGATTCATGACCTTGTACTTATAAATTAAATGTATAATTTCTTCAGTTATTTAATCAATTAGATAATACAATAGGTCACAGATATAAAATAACTATTATAATCAGTAGCATATTCATAATATATAAGTGAATCAAACAGATAATAGATGTCTCTACATGTGGTTCTTTCCATGCTTGAGCTACCGATTTGATTGTCTATATGTTAAACAAGTCAAATCATGTGTTAAAAGAGTTGGAAGATATGCCTGGTGATAATTAAGTAATATGATCAAATTATAAAAATATAAAAGAAAATTAGATCTTTTTTTATTGATTTAAACTTAGAGATAATTAGATATAGATAATTATTTAATATGGTATTAAGGTTAGAGGTTTAGTGTTTATATACTAATTGTCGTTATGTCTTTAGCATGAAGTAGAGTTTGTGTATTCTTGTATGTATTCAGCCTAGCCAGTTTGGATAGACTACATGTTAATTATACTTATATTTTTATAGGCTAAAACTTTTAGGGAAATTGATTCAGCTCATTATTTAATACAGATGAGTTCTTTGACTGAAATAGCTTATTTCGGTTGGTATACCTGATTCTAAAGTGAGTATGAAAGAGGTTAAATGGTTAAAAGATATAAAATTGCATGTCTTCAACCTAAAAAAATTATCTTGTCACCTGATTAGTTGACCGGGATGTGCATTGAGATCTTCCCTCCGACGGGATATGCCTATGTTTAAACGTGAAGCGGAAAAAGAATCCAGATGTCCTATTATTTATGATCATAGTAATAATAACATTTTCTTCAAGTTCACGTGTGAAAATTCATGGTGCAAGTCAAATATTCATAACTTTGTTGGAGCTTTGGCTACATTTCAGTGGCTATTTTGGTACCAGATATGTTCTATAGTATTTTTCTTTGAATTTCGATAATTTCCTTGTGTGCATGCCTCTCATGAATATTCATAGAATCTTATCACTATTTTTGAGAAGATTACATTAGAGAGAATTTTCTCTTCTTGCTGACTGTAGAATTGCTTGCACAAGTCTTGGTATAGTTGTAGATTAACAACTTTTTGATTTACAGGACAAGAGTTTATCAGATGGAATATTTTTCCTTGAACTGCTAAGTGCAGTCCAACCCAGAGTGGTGAATTGGAGTCTTGTTACAAAAGGAGTAACTGGTAAGATTTCTTCTAATCTTAGGTTATGAAACTACATCAAATAACTGTGTTCATTCTGTTAGCATCTTTTCTCTGAAGTTCTTTAAATGGAAATGTAATATCCCTTGAAATATTGTATATTTCCCCAGTGAGATATGATTATGCTAAGCTGATAATGCAGTGCTACTGCTGTGAACTGTCCCATTTAGTTCATAACTGGGAACTGCCAAGGAATTTACGATAAAGGTCGAGTAGCTCACACACGGAAATTCTGCATATCAAGATTATATGAAAATTAGAATTAAAAATTAGTTGAGAACTGATTGAAAAATAAAGGAAACAAGACCTTGTAGTTGGGTAACCTTGAAGTTTCAGATTCAATGATTGGCAATGATCTTGTAGTTGGGTAACTTTGGAAAGAACATATCTCATTGTCAGAGATGATTAAAAAAAATTGCTCTAAGAATTTGTTTACGTGAGGCCACTACTTATTAAATATTGATAGGGTTTTTCCATGGAAAAAGGGGCTTTAGCTTGGCTGCTTCACAAGTGATTTTGGTGTTGTTAGTGTTTGATATGTGTATGGATATGTTCCTCCACAGACTTTTAACACAAATCATAAAGGCTAATCACCTTTTGGAAGTCTCTCTGAGAGTTTTAGAACTTTTTTCCTATCAACTTAAAGTTCTTTGAATAAATACCACAATCAATTATTTCACATGGTACTAGAGAAGTATATTTTAACTGTATAGGATTAGACATGTCCAGCTTTACATAATCTACTTCGTTTTATAAACTCCAAAATTTCGTTGAAATATGTTTGAGAATGAAATTGATTTTACTAATTTTTGTTTCTACCTCTGTTAAAACATGTTTTTTTCCCTACTTTTTGAGCAATGCAGATGAACAGAAAAAGATGAACGCGTCCTACGTCATCAGTATTGCAAGGAAACTTGGGTGCTCCATATTTTTACTTCCTGAAGACGTCACTGAGGTATTCTTCTGATTATCATTATGCCATTTTCAAATTTATTTTTCCAATCAGATATGCCAAACAGTCATAAAGGCTCTCAATTTAGAATCTTGATTTTCTTTTGTGCATCATATTTGTCTGCCTCACTCTAGCACCAGAAACGATGGTGAAAGTTTCCATTTTTGTGGCACTTTTCCAGGTGAATCAAAAGATGATTCTTACCTTGACAGCAAGTATCATGTATTGGTATCTGAAACAACCCGTTGAAGAGAAGCCATCTGCGACCTCAGATAGTGAAAACGGAAGTCAAGTAGATACAATTTCAAATTCAACGATGGATGACTCTGCTTCGGAGTCATCGATAGAAGAAAATGGGAATATATAAATAGGTGATGGCTGCAATCTATCTAAACTTCTTCTGTTCCTTTATATTTTGTAATATTATATATATCTTTTCTCCGTTCCTGTTAAATTTGATTTCGAATAGGAGGTGGAGTTTGAAAGAAATTTTTGTTAAAGCAAATGCACATGTGAATAGTGCTCATTTCTCTCCGTTTGGTCCCTCACTTTTTCTCAAAGAATCAGCTTTGTATCAGTTGAGATTGATCCCTCCTTCTCTCTTTCTACTTGTTAATATTAAAAGCACCCAGTTCAACTTTTCTTGTTAGCGTGCTACACAAGTGCCGGGTTTTAAGGATATCTGCTCTCGCAAAAGTCCCTGAATATCACCAAATTTCTGACATGAACAATCACTATATTTTACAGCTCTGATATTTACAAGACAATAATCCAATAGAAGTAATTTGTTATTAACTTATTTAAAGCTGTTCTTGTCTCAAGTGTCTGTTTGGAATCTGGGGGGAGATTATCAGAGCGATCAAGTTAACGATGTGATTTCTCATAATAGAATTATATATATATATATATATATTTATTTTTGCTGAATCAATTTCCATTTAGTGCATTCTACCGTAACTAATATTGTTGGCTGTGAGTATCGAGTAATCCTCAAGTCTCTCACCTCCCTCAAGAGACTCTTACCAAAAGGGGGTTATGATGAATGAATTCACGTGTATATATGGATGACAGTTTAATACAGACATACAAAATGAAGTTGATATATTCTTTCCCACAGAAAAAAAAAAAGGGGGTTGATATTTCCTTTGCATTCTGTTTAGCCTTTTTGCAAGGTTACTCCCTTTTTGGGTTACCATTTTAGTAGTAGGTGTATGTATATATGCAGAAAGAGAAGTAATTAATGAAATATGTATGGAAAAGGAAGAAAGAAGAATGGGAAGTTGGATTAGAAATGAAGGGTGAGAGAAGGGTGAGAATGCAATGAAGTGGTCCTAAACAAAAAGAAGGCGAAACATGCATGTGGATGCTGCTTATCTAAAACTAAAGCATAATTATGAGTTGGTTAAAGAGTCTTAATTCTTAAGCCTTGATGTGTGTCGAACATTAGCCTACTTGCCATTTGGCCCCACCATGTTCCTCTTTTCTCATTGAAATCCTAATCCCTTCATTTTTTTTTAATCACTAATGGAATTGGACAAATTAATAAATTAAGCAAAAAACAACTTCTGGGCGTGCGTGTGTGTATATATATATATATATATATATATTGATTGATTAATTTACATGTCTGTCACTTTGTTCTTTTCCAGTTATTTTATCAGTTTTTTTTTATTTTTTTAATAGGAATAAAAGCATTTTATAAAAGAAGAACAGAGACCAAACCAGAATCACTACTCAATGTGATATTTGTGTGTGTGCGCATAGGCGTATATATATATATATATATATATATATATATGCATATTCCTTGAACTTGTTCTGTGTAAGAAACAAGGATAAATTAGGGAATACGTAAATCATATATAGAGTAAAAAATATAAAGTTTGTAAAAGAATAGTTTTACCATTTTTAAGAAATTAAGGTTAGGGTTAGATGAATGAAAAAATAAAAAGAGAGAAAGATTGGAGTTATCATATTTTCTGTTCAGATAATTAAAACCTCATGCCTTTATAGCCTATATACAGGCATGTATGTATTCAAGCAAAGCAAGAAATTCATCTACTCTGAGTTTTCTTTCTTTCTCTCTCTTTTGGCTTTTTTCTTTTTTCTTTTTAATTTATTTACGAACTATATATCAAGTTCATGATATTTTAAAATTAACAAAATTTTGAAAGCGAATTAAAATAGATGCATATAGTAAACTAGAAATCAATCCACATATGAAATATATATATATATATATATAATTGTAAAAAAAATTGATGGGTAATATAAGAAAATTAAGCATTTGCCATGGAAATCAATTATGTATTTAAGTATATAAGAAAAAATTACAGAATTTATCAAATAATTATGGGTTTTTAGACAGAAGAGTAAGCACTTTCCATGGAAAAATAATTCCAAGGATCCATTGAATATGTAATTCACTCGATTAATAATTACTTACCATGTGTTTGCTTTCCTTTTCTTTTTTCCCAGAAGAAAGAAGTAATTGGCTAAATACAACTCAAAATTAATATACAGCCAGCTGATTCATTGAAAATTAAAAGTTACAGGAACTATAATTGCATAGTTTCCATGAATAATTTGAATGATTAATATGTAAAACCTGTTTATTATCATTTGGGTATTTTGACTATATAGTATGCATCATGTACTATAAGATCATAATCAAGTCTTTTGGGTGTATACACATATAAAGCCAAAAAATAAGTCAGGAAACTAGAATAATAATAATAACAAACTCAAGTCGTGAAACAAGTAATGGAATGAGAAGGAGGAATTTGAGCGATCTTCTTGTCACTTTCCTTGCATCCCCACTTGAATGATGCATGTGGTCCATATGCATGCAAAGAATTACATATATGTATACATATCTTATATATATACATCTGTATATATACAGATGCTTTAGTTGATGATCACGATTGAAATGCGAGTATATATATATATATATATATACACACGACGTTGCCATAATAAATTACCTTCTGCATCGTCACTTCACGAACACCATCT